AACCATAACGATTCTCTGATTCTATGAAGGAGGGGCAGACGCAGATTGGATATTAGGAAGAAATTCTTCACAGTGAGGGCAGTGAGGCACTGGAACAGGTTGCCCAGAGAAGTTGTGGATGCCCCATTCCTGGAAGTCTTCAAGGCCAGGCTGGATGAGGCTTTGAGCAACCTGATGTAGTAGAAGATGTCCCTGCCATGGCAGGAGGGCTGGAACTAGATGATCTTTAAGGTGCTTCCAAGCCAAATCATTCTGTGATTCTATGATTTTGGAGGTTGTTATTGGAAAGGACTAAAGTATATTGCTAGGGCTGTATAATTAAAACTTGTCTGCATCTGCTCAGAGAACTTCAAATGGTTGGATTAATTTGGATTAATTAATTGGTTACTTTTTCACATTGAACTAAATACTCTTGGAAAACACATTTCTTTTAAAACACAGCCTCATTATACACTGTGGACTCTAATAAACCATAAATCTCTCTCAGTCTTCAAAAGAAAAAACAAACTTGAGAACATCAGAATTTTTCAAATCGAAAACACAATTTCACATCATACCTTTGCAAAAGCTGCTGCAGTCATCTGAACTCGTCCCTCATCAGAAGCGTAGATTTTGAGATCATGTCGGTAAGTGCTATGTAATCTAAGTAAACCACATCCAGGAAATCCAGCATAATCTCCTACCAAACAAACATTTTGCTCAAACTTTCATTTTGCACTTGATTATCCTCAAAAGCAATTTATGGCATTCAACACAGGGTTTTTTTTTACCTTGTCCACCTGGATACATACACCTGAAAGCCCTTCCAAGCTCCTCTGCTTGAACCCTGCCTGCAGGGGTCAATTCTCCTCCCCATTTTAGAACTAGAAGCAAGGATGGCTCATTTCTTCTATTATCTAATTGCACAGAGAGAGAGGAGTTTAGTAGTGAAGTATAGTCTAAATTTACTTTTTTTTTGCAAATGAACAAAAATATTTGGACTATGCAGGGCTTCAGTAAAGGATCTCTTCAATATTACAAACCTTTAATAGCATTCTAACATTAAGAAAATATTGAACTGGAGAACTAAATGGGCACGTAAACAGAGAAACCTGAAGTAGTTAAACTACAAAGAAAACATAAGTGAAAAATTTTTAGCATGAAATCTGAAGCAAAAAGTAAATTGAGACAGAAATTAAAACAAAGTGGATGCTAAATACTCTAGTTCTTTCAGTCAATAACCATGGGTCAAGGACCAGAAACGCTTATGAAAGTTTTAATGATAGCAGTAAATCTTGAGTGGGATTTTCTCATCCTGGCACCAAAACACCACTTATTTTCACCCTACTTTTCTGTTACAAAAAAGCAGTGTTAGAATACAAATTTACTACATATTTTTAGGTGTATGATTCAGCAGATTAAGAGACTCTGAATATCTGCTAGCAATACAAACATTCATTCAAAACAACATGTTCCTTCTTCTTAACATCAAGACTTGTTATACCACTAGTCCATAACTATTTAAACACACATGATATTAAGTGATTAGGTGCAAAAGTAGTACAATACCTTCCTCTTCACTGGAAGTCTTTGGGCAACCATGAGGAAGGTATGTTAACTGAACTTTGCGATTTATGCCTGAAAAATGACCATACCTGAAGTAGGAACAGGGGAAAGTGAGAGGGGAAGAGGGAGAGAAACATTTTAAGTATTTTCCTCAAAACTGGCTATGCTCCTGTAACAGGATATAATAAACCTACAGTGGTCATTCATTGATTCGTGCATTTAACCACCACTTATTGAAGCAGTGTTTAGAACAAACCTAACATAACAAGCACAGAACGACTACAGAAGTATCGACCATTCTATAATGAAACATTTAAAAATACCATCTACTATGTCTTTTCACAACACTGAACATAAAACTGAAAAAAAAAACCCAAACAAAATAAAAATGCATTTGCAGATTGCATGAGTAATTTATCTATTCAGATCCACAACTACAGTGGCTATGGAGTACCCAGAATCTGATCTGTCAGCGTAGATGGCTACTATTTTGTTAGCCAATTAAGTTCTCAAGCAGAACTCAGTATTTCAAACAATCATCATAAATTTCAATAATAACTGTCTCTGTCCTCAGTTTTTGAAAATTAAATTTATCTACAACCATATAGAATTCTGAGACCCCAGACTTTTAACAAACTTTAAAGTCTTTTTTTTTTTTCCTTAAATTATCAAATATCAAGCTTAATATACAAAGCCTTATTTATTTGGAATCCTCTGAGTTTGCTCTAAGTAGACAGTACACACAGTGAAAGTTCTTACTGTCTCCATCAGACTTCATTATGTCACACTGCAAGAAGCAGACCCTGTACTCAAATAGTTTCATTTTTAAAACATGCAAGAAGAAAAAATTCGAGATCAAAGAAAGTAACTTTTTCATATAGCAAGTATACTGAGACACTAGATAAAGCAGCAAGTTCTATTAAAAAGGAGAGAAAACAGAGACATGGCCCAGTTCTTCATAATGTCAAACATGACATGCTTTCTCTTGATAATCCTTGTGCTTGAATTAATATATCATTACATAATTGACAACCATTGCAATCCAAGCAGTAACTGGTCAAACAGGTCAAAATTGCAGATACAACTCTGTTGCTATGAAGCCTGAAAATTAGACACTTACATTTCTAACACAGTCTTTAGCTGTTCAAGTTTTGCTTTACTTTCCTCAATTTCAGAATCATTGTTTTGCCCAAGTTCTACAAGGAGCTGCCTTGCTATATCAAGCACTTCCTAAAGAAAGGAAACATACGATTTACTTAAATAAACAATTTTCTACTTATAAGATACCACAGCAAGAAAATAAAGGCAAACTTGCCTGCAACTGCTTTGGTTTTTTCAGTTTTAGTTTTCCAGATTTATATCCATCACATTTTTCAAAGAGATCAAAAAACCTTTAAGAGAAAGAATATTGACTAAAAAACGCAGTTAATAAGCTAAAATATTACTTGAACAAGTGGTTCTTAAATTTAAAGTGGTCTGAAATTGGCACCTTTACACTATTTGAAAAGCAGGTTAAAACCCACACTACAGAGGTCAAAGCAATCTTTACTCAAATCCCATTTCCCAAGAAAGTGTTCAACACATTAGAGAAATAAGAGCACTAAAAATGTTCTCTTACCAACTTGCTAAGTGTCAAGAAAAAAAAAAGGAAGACATTCTATACATCAAATAACATAATATTTGAATATACAACTAAGTCCATTCTTAATCATCAAAAATGATTCTGAAGAGAAGTAGGGACCAAAAATACCAAATGAGCAGTCCTGCATTTTTACAGCATGTATCTCTGAATGCAAGAATCTAGTCCCAAAACAAATAATTAGTTTTTACTGAAACTGCACCTAATTCCAGGCCAATTATGCACTTTATGAATGCTAACATAAAGATGGCATCTACCAGAAATTCAGAGTCATCAAACTTTGACAAAAGTAAATGACAAAAAAGCAGTGCAGTAAGATGACAGCTCATACAAGAACAGTTGTGATAAAAAGAGAAAGGAAAAAGTCACAGTCAAATGGTGAACCAGAAATATTCTCTGCTGCATTATTTTGAATAAAGACAGGTATAGAGACAAATGCATTTCCATATAATCAGGCAGGACTGTTCACAAGGCACAGGATGTGATGAAGGAACTCTGTACAAGTAACTTAACAGTCCTGTTAGAAAGAGAGATGCATACTTGTTAATTAGCTGCAACATCAGTTAGATTTAAAAGAAAAGAAAAGAAAACAAAAAGCAACTTGTATGATGCAATTCCTACTCAATTCATTGCTTGCACATCCCCAAGATGTGAGCTCTGCTCTGAAGCATCCAAACTAATTTTTACCAAGATTCTACTTACTTCTGATGTTTTACTTCCATTTTCATCTTTTGTTTTGGTGTTCGGTCCCCATGGCGTATTACAGCTATAACACATCTAAGCTCCATCCTGAAATTTCAAGAGTTGTATTTCACAAGTCTATATATGAGGGTCTTTTATTTAATATTAAACCCACTACGAATCAAGACAATTGACCAAGTCGTAGTTATCTGACATAACTACAGAAGCGATGGAAGGATACGCAAGAACATAAGGTTAACTGAAAATGATGTAAGGTATAAAATATAACTATTGATTTTAAGACTTGGGTAACTACAGAATCTACTTTAAGTAGTTTTTAAAGCAACGATTTTGACGTTCATTAAATGAAAGAGCATGTTTATTAGAAGAGCATATTAAGTTGGTGCTGAAACAATGATTAGCAGTGAAGGAAGCTAGGCATAAAAGATGCTACACTTGAAAATCTGCTGTTCTATACTCAGCTTGACTAAGGGTCAGAAACTCTGATTGCTGGCATAGCAATTGCGATTCCTTCTTTGTTTTCATCACACAAAACAAGCGTTCATAGGCCAAAGTGGGCACACCTTGTGAAGAGAAAAAAAAATTCACACAAAAGTTAAATTAGGAGTTCGCACAATTCAGGTGTAGCTAATATTTTCTTACATTGTTCCAGAGGTGGTGGGCACAATAGGGATGTCTTCAGCTTCCAACGGAATTGACCATGGTATCTGAAACTGGGGAGCAAGTTCTCTCATTATGATATTTCTAAAAAAGGGGTTAAAAAGAAGAAAACCCACTAAGTTTAAAGCACAGCTTATACAACACATACAAACTCCAAAACAAACAGATACTATATACATGCATTTTTATCAATGTGGTTTTAGAGTATTAGCGGTAATGAATCATATGCATATTTTTCTTTTAATTGTATAATAAAAACCTACTTAGACAATAATTTCAAGCTACTACCACTGCTACAGAGACAACACTTAGCCTAACAGCCTGGATTTGTAAGAAACCGTGGTTTTTGAACTCCAGTTCCTAAAACAGTTCCTTGGATATGATTTAGCCTTGTCTACTTAAATATTCAGACACCTGACTCCATTGCCAAGCTGAGAGACTCTGATAATCAGCAAGTTTTCTCATCAAAGAGTAACTGGTACCTTTGGTGGTAATTTCTCAAAAGTTTCTGTGATAGAACTGGAAAAATAGATAAAGTCTTTAGTTATAACTACAAAATGATAATACTGCCTCCGCCTATGGAAGGTTGTTAAATTTTGCTGATGTTCTGTTTCCCAAGTGTTTAATCAAAATATACTGAACTTCAGATTAATAGGTACCTAAGAAGCAGTAACATGGAGGAAAAAAAAAAGTGCATTTTAAAGTAGCATAAGCCAAAATCTAATTTCTAAAAAGCTCAAAAAAAATCTGCTGTTACTTAACACTGCAATCTATTACCTTAAGGAATAAAACATAAGGAAAAAATGGTAACTTTTTTTCAGAGAATTCAACAGCTACAACAATTTGAACAAACAGAAATCAAAATGGGTCTGGGAATTGTAACTCAAACATAAAAAGTAGACTAAAACAAGAGGACTGCAGTTGTTATCTAGGATTTCAGCTTAGCTCTTCCTCCATTTAATAATATCCCAGATCATTCGATCAAGCAGAAGTCATGCTGCATCTTATCAGTGCAATCTTACTGTAAAGTCAGTTTAACTGGCCAAAATTGGATTAGCCTACTTGGAGGCAACATTTCACTGGCATAGAGTTCACTACTCAATTCTGTATGATCCCTTGTTATACATTTTTTTGCTCCCAGTAGCAGACAGAATATGGCATGACAGAAGACGCCTTGTTACTACATCAGTTTGGATTCATCACTACGAAATCCACAAATATGCAAGTATACACCAGCTTCAGATCAAGGACAATGTACATTTATTCGGGCATATATTAAACAGCAGCAAGCATAACCATTCAGTGGTGCTTCTCTACTTGAAAAAACACTTTTAAGAGTTTAATCTGGCTTTCAAAACACTTATTCAGTTAGGCTTTAGGTGTTCATAAAACAGACTCAGATGTTTTGGATGATTTTATGAATAGGGAATTTATTTAGGATATATTTATTAATTTAGGATTCTTTTTAGTATTTTATTTTATTATTTAATTTAGCAACTTATTTTATGTGATATTTTGTTTTAAATTATTTAGGAATAAGGAATAAGTAGTACACAAACTACAGTCACATACAACAGACTAAATAGGCAAAACTCCTGAAATGAATCAGTAAACTCTTACCCCAGTATCTTAGCACAATCATCATAGTATTTCATGGAGTTTTTCACAAAACTGAAGCCATTCACATCACAGACATAGGACTGTCCATTAGCACGCAGCAAATCAAAGCCACAAACTGTTTGCTGTTTTTAACAATAAAAGTTTAAGTCATTGATCACCTTCCTTAGGATTGCTTATTCTAAATAAATGTTATATTTTAACACCATATTCACCTGAAAACATGACAAAAATATGACAGATTTTATACTTAGTACCTTTTGCCAGTTCCATGTTAGGTTCACTCACATCGTGCAAATATTTTCTGATTATTAACTTGATTTTACCCTTCCTGTATATCCCTAGCAGTATCAGTATTGAAGGTCAAGTTCACATGTGCACAAACCTAACCTTCAAGATTTATAGCATAAGCAATGCTAGGTCTACAAATTACCCATTCTGACAGTGGTTTCCCCCTATACATAGTTTTTACAGGTGGCAGGCAAGAAATGACAAAATATTGTCCAAACTATTTTTGTCCAAATTTAAATTTGACAGGATAGTTTTGATATTGACATAATATTGGCATTATTAGTAGAGGATACCAGATGCTATTTCAACAGATTATTTTTTAGATCTCAAAGCCCACTTTGCTAGGTGACAGAGGTTCATACCCTACAAGCTCCAGAATGCCATTGTAGTTACACACAGGTAGTGAGACAGACTGAAAGACAGCCTTTTAGTAAGACAGGTGAAAGGAGGGTACAGATTGAATGAAGTTTTGAACAAAGGAACCTTGAAACTATACAGAAATGAAAACTATCAAGCACTTCAAGTAAGAACCTAGCCATGTCAGTACCAAATTAGCATTTAATTGGGCCCAATGTAAATACTGAGTAACAGAAGCTACAAAAAACTACTGAAATTGTGTTTCGCTAACTTAGAAACCATTAGCAAAATGTGTGAACGTATTATGTGTAGAACAGATACACTGTGGACTAGCAAAGCACAATAGCAACATGTGAATTCAATTTATGCAACATAAGCAATCCATTCAGAGCTTTTCAATGCATTAAAGGAAGAATTCTTCTAGATTAAAAAAAGATTAAAAAAAGATGTAGATGTGGAAGTTTAACTTTTCACCTTCCTAGGAGTTCTGCAGCAATTATCACTGCTGGCTCTGCGCGCTAAAACCCTAAGGAGGTTTCACGTAATAAACAATTAATTAACACTAAATGTTTGATCAGATAGGAAAGTAATCAGCTTACTTTAAAGGCAAGGCATACTTTCCAAGCAATTAACTTCTCTCTTGCATTTAGGATGACTGGATATCTCACTTCTTTTCCTTCACTATCTCGTTCTACTTTGCCATCCAGAGCTGGAGACTTCCGGGCCTCAGCATGAGCATAGTCTGGACCTACCGTGTACACCTTTATTGAAAAACAGGAACTCCTGAGTCAGTGTAATCAAATTACATTACATATATGCAGACATTTTGCTAAATTTATCTCAAATGTTACAGCAACTTCAAAAGATACTAGCTGCTTTCATCATTGAAAAGGTCACTCTAAAGTACATTCCTCAATGGCATTCTCTGCCTTCAGAGAACACCCAACATTTACCGCCTATCTAGGATAAAGCAAGAGAGGAGAAAACAGCTGGAACACAGGTAAAGAAAAATAATAATTATGAAACTTAATGAATAAAAAAGAATTTATTGATTATGGTGGTACAGAGATAAAGAATAATGCTTTCCTCTCCAAAACATCTGCAGAACTTGGAGAGCAGATGAATTTGAGAATTATTTCAGTTTACTTTATTATGGAAATCTGGCTGCAGAACTAAGTGATTCCTTTCTTTAAAAAATATTTTCATGTTTCAGGCAGGACTAAACAAAGCAAAGATCTGCCCAGTTTTTCCATGACAAGGCAGGGACTTTGAGCAAATGATTATGCTATCTAATCTGCCGCAGTTTTGACACTCACTGAAAGGATCCATACAATCATAGAATGGTTTGGTTGGAAGGGACCTTAAAGATCACCTAGTTGCACTACCCCTGCCATGGGCAGGGACACCTTCCACTAGACCAGGTTGCTCAAAGCCCCATCCAACCTGGCCTTGAACACTTCCAGGGAGGGGACATGCACAGCTGCTCTGGGCAACCTGCTCTAGTGCCTCATCAACCCTCACTCTAAAGAATTTCTTCCTAGTATCTGATCTACGTCTTCCTTCTTTCAGTTTAAAGCCATTGGGGCATATGCTAGAAGAGACTTGTCAGCAGCTCTCAAAAATGGTCTAATGTCACTTTAATTAAAAACAAAACTATTCAACTAAACCAGATGATTGCAAATACCCCTAATTTTGTCAATTCAGGCAAGAGGGTGAGTTGGGTGAAGCTGTATAATATACAGTCGACATTTTTGTTACTTGCAGAAAATCCATTATTTATTTGGAGGGTTAAAAGTCCATAGCTGCTGCCTGATGACTACACTACAATAAATAGTCAAAAGACACCCCATCCCTCAAGTCATTTGCATATCTTCAGGTTGCAAGAAACTTTTCTTTTTGGAAACAGTTTGTAAAGCTCTTACACAGATGTCTGTAAACTCAGACTAACCTATTGCAAAGTGTTGCACAGTATAACCATCTGAGGAGTATAGCTCATGAAAACCTAGCAACTTAAAAAACAGGGAATTTGTCTGAGAACATAAAACGAGCATTCCTCTCATGTATCACCAAGTGGAAGAAGCTGACTGCAACTGATAAAAGCCCTCTTTGGTCTAAGACTGGATTAGATCTCACACCCTCTAAACCTCCACTTTTTGTCTAAATATGGCGATCTCTCATGCATATTGTAAAACATTTGTTTCACATGTTTTGTGATGGGCTTAAAATAGCCAGAACTAACACAAAGGGAAAGAAAGCAATCTCCATACATGGCTGGCTGAAGACCTGTTCTGTTATTGCTCTATTTTAACATTCTTTTATGATACTTAACCTTTACATCTGTTAAGAAAATAAACGAACAAATCACAGATACAGTCAAATTACAGGTAAGGTCAATGCATTATTTTCTGCAGCTTCATATAATTTTAGTAAGCAACTTTTGTTTATTAATTAGAATACTAAGATAGTTGGTAAAATCTTATTTCAATTACAGATTTTTTTGTAACCTTCAGACAACATATGTAGGTAGCATCTGTTTATACAGGAAAATATATGCTGTTCTCACACTAATACAATACAAAAATTATGACGTGTTGGGTAATAAGCTTTCAGCACCTGATTATAACAACATAAGCAAAGCTGCTCTACATTACAAGTACTGTTTTTAGCTAGAATAAGAATTCCATTCTTTATTTATGAGCTGTATCACAACTTCATTAAAATTAATCCTTGACATAAAGATATACTTTCATCTTTAAAACTGACAAGCTCTTGGAGCACCTGATTGTTCTAAACGCAAATAAGAACACGCAGCTGTCATACCTTCACATCAGTGCCATCTGTAGGCATGAATTCCTCATAAATATAGGAGCCTGTTTTTCTCACACTGCTTTCAGGGGAATAAACACTGCTTCTGCTGCCAATCTGAAACGAATATTCTTCCATTACTAAAATCATAGGCTACTGCCTAAGAAACTTTAAAATTCCTTAAAATAACACACTTGTACCAAGAAAATACTTCCTGTACCAAACGAAGCAAGTAGGTTTTGATTGTTCCCAAAACATTTTATAAGATTCTAAAAGTGCTCTGATAATGTATGCTTCTTTTACCTTTAAGAATCTGCAGTGGCTGACAATCTACTGCAAGGAACAAGAGTCTTCATTCAATCTACATGTTCTCCTGAAACAAATTTCTCTGACCTGCCCCTATTCCTACACAAGCAGGACATGACAAAACAGGTCCCAGCTGACTTACGGAATGGACAGAATTACTATGGAATTCTGTTAGACATCTACAACTTTTCAATAGCTTTAGTACAATACCCTCACCTTTCGAAAGAGCCTCTGGCTTCCACCCCCAGCAGATGTTGGATAATAAATGTAAACATTGTGGTCCTCAGCACTAACTGGCTTTTCTACAAAAGGCTTTTGGAAAATTTCTCCATTCACTTCCACATGATCTTCTCCTTCAATCAAGTTGCATTCTGAAGAAACAGTGCAAACAACAGAGATGCAATAATATATTCATGGAATGAAATTATTAGAGACTCAGGGTAATTTTGTAGGTTGAAATAAAAAGACTGTATTACATTTTTGGTTCACTGATTTGTTACTGACTGCACAAACACTTGATGATCATGTGCTGAACATGTTTGCTGCACCATGTCTACATTATGTTACTTTAATACTATGTTCCAGGATTTCTGTTGATTCCCTCAGCATCAGACAAGAAATCATCTCCTACAGACGCATTAGCTTGCATGGGTGGTATTTTTTCAGAACTGTTGAGAAGACGGGAGTAGGGCTGTTCGTCTCTTTCTTCAGTGCCTTTCTCTGAAATATCAGGGGCATGGCAGATGTATAGTGAACATAGTGTGGTGCCAGATGCAACAGTACTTTTAACAGGCCAAGAACTGCCTCATACGCTGTGATTGATACACTTTGCACAGAGGATTAGGTCCTCTGGAATCAGGGATCAGGAATCTCTTCAGTACTGGTTGGATGCATGCAGCAGCTTTTATTTGACTTTTGTGGCATAAATGAGTCCTTCTCTCTAGATTAGGCAGACATGTTAACCTAAAATTCCCTACCTCTTAAGAGCTACATTGCAGTTATACTTCAATTTTATTTATTTCTTCTTATCTTTTACTCTTGTGTCTTTACCTGTCATTGGAATCTCCTATTGCTGGTGTAAGTTTTCATTTTAGTAGAAAAAGGTGTTAAGTTTTTTTTCAGGCATAGAAAAACGTAATTCCAATTCATATTCAGACTATATAATCTGCAGATCTGTCTGGACTAGATTTCCCTTACATGGTTGCCTGTACTTAGAAGGGAAAGTATTCAATAGCCTGACTTGCTTCTATCCATATTACTTTCCTAAGTAAAATTACTAATTATTGTGAGTAATGTCACATCATGAATGCTGCTCTCTTTGATGACATATCAGAATCTCAGTTTGAGTTTGGAGGCCCTTATATTCTAGTTGTTCTGTAATGGCTGTAAGAGGATGTTGACTCCAAGCTTCAGAATCATGCTTTTCAGATACATACGTGTACTGCCTTTGGCTGGGAGGAAGTTAATTTTCTTCACAGCACCTGGTATGACGCTACATTTTGAATTTGTGACCAAAGCAGTCTTGATGTTTTAGTTATTGCTGAACAGTGCTTACACAGCCTCAATGCCTTTTCTGTTCCACATACTGCCTCCAAAACCAGTAGGGGTTAATCCACAAAAATACTTCAAATACTGGAGGAGAAATCAACCTCTGCACAAATGAATTAATTGTCTAGCAACTGAAATTTAGCTTTCCGCTATGTCTGTACTGTTCTCCAGTGGAAACAAAAGATGCTAATTGTTGATATTTTAGTCATCAGTTTTTACCGTGCGGATTGTTTGGATCACGGTTCAGAACTGCATAGCGAGGAAGTAAAATGCCTTCAGCTTTAAGAATACCATATACTTCTCTCCTAGAAGGAAAGAACAAAAGTTGCACAGTAAGACAGGAAATCCTGCCAGTATTTTTATTTTACACTCCATGAGTAAGGGAGGAGAAAAATACGTATAATTTTTTTTAAAAAACACACAGGATAAGATTACATATATAATACTCTATTTATTAATATAATGCTTTAAAGGTCACTGACACAGCAGCGATCTCATCAATATCAATAAAACTGTAACTTGCTATACCAGTCCTGTCCTCTCCACTCTGGCAGTGCAACAGCAATTTAACAAGGGAATTGTTCTATGTAAAGGAGATTGTCAACATGAAGGGTTGAAAAAGTTTATACAGGACAGCAACTTAAAGCATCCAAAATAGCAAGTCTGCTCACTGTTCAGTAGGCTCCCATGTTTATGTATTTTGCTCACTAATGTTTTGTTAATATTTGCTATGCATGATTGCAGCTCCAAAAGAAAATTCACTTTGAATAACCACACAATCTTTGAATACCAACAACTTCTGTTAAGTATCCATTTAACAGAAAAAAAGACCTTTAGTAAGTCACATGAATTCTACAATTATAGAAGGCTGTACAGTTGCTATACATACCTATGCTATACATATTTTCAGAGTTTAAACTTTATTTGCTAAGCTTTACAGAAATGTATCAGCAAATTTCTACCTTGGTAAATATTCAGATGTATCAATATAAAAGCAGTAAAGAAAAAACACAACTAAAGGCATATCCCAGAGAACTATGCGTACATTAATAAAGTGTAACATTAATTGTAACTTTATTTAGACTATTGTACAATATATTAGAACTGTTGCTATGCAATAAAAACAGATTCTCACAGTTTCCGACTTAAAAGTAGTTTGCTCTTTACAGGTTAGTAAAAAGCAAGTACTTTACAAGTAGTGTTACTTACCTGTCTTGTATGTGATACTGCATATTCAAGTCATTGATTATGAATGGATTCCTGAGTTTTGCATAGGCAACTGCTTTGTCCAGTGGAAATCCTAAAATATTTATTAAGGCAAAGAAATTAAAACTACAAGTCACAACACCAGTAAATAGCTTGGAATCTCTACATTCAAGCTTTAGAGTAGAACTAGAGACACAGCTTATTCCTCAACAGACACACATAACATCCGCTTAAGACAATCATGAAACTACAGCCTAATTTCAGTATAGGCTGTCAAAAGTAGTGGTCCTGTTCTCCAACTCCCTCCTCCTCACTCCACATGCCCTCTACTTCCATAGGGCCCGAACTAAGGCTTTTCTTGCCTCTGCCTGAAAATATGATTTTTAACTTCAGTCTACTCATCTTTGGTTCACTGCCCAGGCCCACAAAAAACCCTAGATATTAGCAGAGATACATGAACAAATGCCCAGAGACCCAACGCTCCCATTATGAAAGTAGCATGCCTTCACAGTTATTGGACCAAGTAAGTATTAGATCAGCATTTCCACTGGCTCCACAAATACTTACCAATGGAATAGCTATTTTAAATACCATGTCAGACAGGACTTTCTCAAGCAACGAAAACAACATCATTTGAAAAGCCTGTATTTTAAAAATCAGTTGTATTATACTAAACAATACAAAAGAATCACTTACTAGAAAAATCCAATAAAACTACAAGATCAAAAAAAATAAAAAGACCCTCAGACTGGTTAAGGTATTTAGATGTGAAAAATATTTATGATATTATTAGAAAATTTACCTTTAGAATGAAAAGAAATGAGACAGTCACACAGAGGCCAGTTTTCTACTGGTTCATTCAAAATAACATCCTCTTCAAATATTATTACAGTTATGTACTTAAACATGGAGAGGCGTTCAAGAATTTCTTTCATTGGCTTGGACTTAGATTTCTTAGCCATTGAACAAATCCCAACTGCAATTTGTCTTTCCGGTGGCTGAAGAGGGGGGGCAAAAAGCAAGTATTATTTTTAAGTTTTCTCAGAATACAACAGGGTTTTAGCAGCACAATTCTAGAGCAGATATTCTCTCTTAAAATTCACGTACTACCTTTAATTTAGTGCTTAATTGGGTAAATTGCTAGCAGGTAACAAAATGCAGCATGATAGCACACCACACTGCATCCTTATGAAAAAATGAAACTGTCCAATAGCTCTGCACTACCTTTTGTGATTATTGTATTAGGAACAAATACACAGCATCAAAATTTAAGTCAGAAATTACAAATCTGAATTAAGTCATACTTATGGCTTACTCTGAAATTAACCACCAATTAATTTTTTAACTATTTAATTTTTCTGCATCTACTTAGTAGTTAAAAGGCTTCTCATCTTACTACCTAATATTGCAAGTGAATTATGAAAAGGAAAACTAGTAAACCAGAAAATACCATTCTAGATTTCTGAACTATTTTGTGCATAAACAGTTTCACTTTTCTTCTGTATACTTCATATTTTCTTTCATGTTATAAGCCTTTAAAAATTTCTTTTCCCTAGTGGTATTCCTAAGCACAAGAGCCAATGTACTCCTCTGTTTAAAAAGAAACAGTAAGTTGAAATAAATGATTGTTCTGTTGGATTTTTTTTTTTTGTTTCTTTCTGTTCTTTTATAACATAGCCAACTATCCTCCCTTGCTAAAATACCCTGACCGAATTGAGCTGTCTGAGCTGCTACTTTTGGACTACTACTCTGCATTTCCAAGCTACTTTTAATCACAGTAAGTGGTTTATTAACACTTCCCTGCATTTAAATTTTTTTTACATGCTTGCAATCAGTGAAAATTTAATCTGACTATTCCCTAAAGTGAAATGTTACAGACTAAAACAACTGGAAAACACAGCTAAAAAAAAATGACATAACATGATAACTCATGCATAATAAAATTAAGAGTTTGTCTTAAACTAAAAATTGGTAAGCACCGTGCTAAAATACAGTTCAGAACACTCTGCAAGAATAATAAACTAAGGTATAACTTCAGATTAATTTAGCATGCATTTGCTATACACCAAGACAAGGAAGAAGAACGAAAACATATTGGATCTTAATGAAAACAACAGTAAGATGAAAAAAGAAATGTTGAGTCTCTTCAAACTGAAAAATCAAAAGTTAACTGTACAGCAGTTGACAACACACACAAAAGAAAAACTCTCGATCATTTTTTGCTACTAATTATCCAAACAAATAAAATTAAGTTTTATGCCATCAAGTTCATTCCCAAAATCGAAATCAAGTCAGCAAAGCTGGAACATCAACCTTAGCTGCACTGAAACTCTGTATTAAGGTCAAGCACATCTACTTCAAAGTTCAAGGTATGCTTACTTTTCAAGTGTGCTGCATTTCCAAACATAACTGACAGATCATTACCTGAATATGAGCAATTTTGCAATTCAGAACACCATTTCAGCATTAGACTTTTGTGATCTAATGCCATTTCAAAGTAAAATAATGCTAGAGAACAGACAGAATAGTACACACATGCCCCTACAGTACGTACAGAGTCATATTCTTCCTCCTCTTCTTCCCCATGGTCATAGAAGTGTTCGTAATCTGTAGATCTGGCTGAATCCAATAATCCTTCCCCATCTTCTCCACCCACGAAGAATCTAGGAGGATCATTCTCTGTTGCACTAACAGACATGGTCACAAGATCTATAGAGATCTATGTAGAAACTGCAGCCACTTTGGCAGAGGAGATACTGGGCATGTTTCCCGCTGACTCAGGAACACGGAAGTCCCCTGCTCTTTGATGTTGCTTCTACGGTGTTGCCACTGTGATGACGTTGTCGGCCAGACACTGTTTAACTGGTATTATCTGCTCATTATTGGTTTGATTTCCTGCTCCAAGAAACCCGCAATAGGCTACTGCTTCCCTGAGATGATACAACTTTTTAACCTAAAAGAAATATCCAAACAAACAACAAAAAGAAAAAAACACACTTGATAAAGGCACATAAAAATAAACACTTAGAAAAAGTGTTTGGACATTCACATACTGCTTAGCAGAGCATCAGAAATAAAACTGCGCATACTACACATAGTCTACACTTTCACATGTATGTTCAGAATGGGGAATACTTTAAAAGATATTTTCAAACTACTAAGGCAGACTTTTTAAAAATGGACAATATAACTCACGGAAGTAAAAACTGTCAAATGCATTTTTTTTCTAACTTAAGAAGGGTAAAATGCAGAGTATATCTTTTATACGAAAAATAAAACAACAAAAATCTTCTTCAATATTTGCGATATTTAACTCACCATCCCTGTTATCAGCTGTTTTTTTCCACAAAATATTTCTGATCAAATGGCCATGGCAAATAGACAAAAACACTAATGAAAACTATAAAGTCTTCATTAGGGCTATTCTTAAATAGAAACCTGTTCTTTCAAAAACCGAGTGAATCTTCAGTGGGAAAGCAGAATGTATCTGCCAGCTTGATGTTTGCCTATTTGTTTCCAACAAACCATTGCTTTATTTTCACACTCAAAAATTAACATTTAGAGAGATGTACACTAGCACTGCTTTCTGTCAAAAGTACTTCTAAGCACTAACATACCAGTGAAGTGAAAACATATTGTACCTTTTTAACCAGTCATGTGAAAATAAAATCTTGGCCAAATAATTTGTATACAGAAACAGAGACTCAGAGCTTAGTCTTCTGTTGTTTTAACCAGGTAATTGTTCTTGCTTGAAGTTGTGCATGGCTTTTACAATTAATTATAATCCATTACTACTACTTAGAAGATTAATAAGCAGTTACTTGTTTAGAAGATCATCTAATCAAACGCTTTCAGTAGTTTATTAGTCAGATCATTACGTAAGTGCCACTCAACAATGATGTCTCAGCAGAACTGAGTTTGTCTTTAAATATCTGTCAAAACAACTTTGGTTGTTCTATGAACGAAGTGAAGCAATAGTAAATTCCCAATGGTGATCAACGATTCAGGTTCCCGAGAAAGAGGATGATAAACAGAGCAAAAGTTACCCAGAAAGAATCTGTACTAAGTCAGAGGGCAATAGGTTACGCATGGGTAAACAATACAGCTGTTTCACAAGCAGAAGCTGACGTCTGAACAGACACAGAATGATCCTGGAGTGACAGCAGAGGATTAAAAAGATTCATTTCTTCAATATATTTGTTATGTATCTGCTCCCCTTCAATTCCACTAATGAAAAATAACTTTCTGTTCGAATGTGAAACTGCAGCCATTTGTCCTTCAAGCAACAAGAACAAAATAAAATTTCAAAACACCTAATTCATCTTGCTCCCACGAGAGTTAGAAATTAGGTATTGAGACAAATCAATCCTGTTTGTGACAGCGTGAAGAAAGCAAGGTTTCCAAATCCTATTTTTAGCAAGTTTCAGAAAGGCAGAGGTTATTGGCAACATATACTGGCAACTCATACAGAATTGTGAAACGGTATTAAAAAAGACCCCTAAAAGCAGGCAAAGCCTGAAAATGAAGTTTAACAGTCCCTCTTGCATTAGCTTCCCCCCCCCACTACCCAATTTCTGTAAACTGGAAACAGGTGTCTTAACAGCTTTTTAAAACCTAAGGTTTTCTTAAAAAGAAGGAAAACCAACCACTTGAAAAAGACAAGCAGTCATTAAAAGTGGTTTTTTAAGCTTTCTTTCCCCTATCTATTCCTGTAGTGCATTTTGTGAGAGCAGCAGAAGTTGTGAAGTTTGTGTGCAATCAATGACTAGTTATTTCATGAGGATCTTTGGTACTACCTGAGTCTCTCTAACCCAAAGCGATTACTTCTCAAAGCAAGTAGACACCATACAAATAAAGACTGAAGGGAAAGCACAACATATTTGTATAGAGATGATACAAATATATAACCCGACAAGCTTAATTCCCTAACAAACGTATCTGAAACTTAGTGTTCTTCTACTTTCCTAACTCAAGAATCTGGAGAGTGTTGGTGTTATCATTAGCAAGTACACCTGTCAAGCGGAGCTTCGCTTGTGGAAGACAAACTGAACAGTCACATAGTCTGCATGGAGTTAACAAATGACTTTCTGCAAGATTTATTATGTTGTTCACCCATCTGAAGGTGGATGAATTACTAGATTGCCACTCCATGATATTGTCACTGGGTCCCAGAGTTTTCAGTCAGTTTGTAAAAATAAGACTAAAGACACAGGATCAACAAAACATACTGACAATTTTCAGGTTTGTAAACTACTGCATGGACTCACTGAATTGCATATAAATTGGCATTCTGACTGCTGATGGTTACCAGTTTATGTCCCAGATAGCACATGCTGAAAGCTACTGTCATTAGCATACATTTGGGTCAGGATATAATGAATAAATTATTTCTTTTTTAGAATAAATGCTTTTGGAGACTTGAATTAAAATTCTTTCCCTCCAAATGCTTTCACCGCTATAAAAATTGAGGAATCCTCTTCTTTCTTGTGGTGTGTGAAACAAAAAAAGCCCAAGAAAAGAGACACAGAAAGAGAAATATTAGAGTAAGTGACTGCAACTACAGTGAAAAGCTTACACAAGTCTCCTAGAAATAACTGCAGTTATCTGATGTCAAAAATACAGTAAGACCATGCTTGGATAAAAACCATGGTTTTCAAGTTGTACACCAAGGAGAAATAATAAATGGCAGAGCAAGAATATGGAGCTGTCTTCCTGCCCGAGAAGTACTGTCAATGCTGATGGGAGAGACTTCCAATGCATGGTGCCCTATGCAGAATTCCATCTTGCTGCCCCTGAGCAGGGAAGAGTCTGTCCAGTACAGTTCTCTGTATCAAGTGTGCAGCAGCAACAATGCAGGGGCAGAGACACTCTATGATAGATCCTCTCATACTTGGTGCATGAGCATAAGCCTCATCAGACAGTGAAGATTACAGGATTGTGCGCATGCCTCAGCCATGGAAGTCTGCAATGTAAGCAACACAAAACCCAAAGCTATTGGAATATACACTGACCCATTTCCAAAGAGCATCCAGGCAACAATCTCCTACTGTGCAGTGACCCTTCCAGGTAGAATTAATTAGACTATGTTCCCATAAAACCTCAGCTGTTACACAAGGCTTCCATTTTACAGCTTACAGATAAAAAAAATCTCCTCTAATTTTGAAAAATACAACTTAAATAACAGTGTTGTTTCTTAAAAGGACTTCCAACCAAATGTACAGCCTGTTCCTTCCACCTGTCCTAAAACTTCCTATTCATGACCACCACACAATACATCTGGAGGGGAGGGGGTGGCAGGGGAAGAAAAAGTTTAAAGAAAACAGTAAATCTTCTAATTTTACATTCTTGTCTTAAAATAAACTCATCTCAGTTATTCCCTAATAAGCTAGCACTAAAATTGTGCACTGCAAAGGAGAAGTAAAAATTCTTACATTTAACTGATATTACTATCATTTACTAGTGGAAGGTACACAAAATAACATTCTAAATATATAAAATAACACACAGACAAACTTAACATTAACCTACGAATAGGGCTGTATTTGAACCACAGATTTTGGTAGACTGCTAAGCACTCAAGTCCAGTTTCACTCCAGTGGTGCACTACCGACTTTTTTTGTAACAGAACATTTCTTCACTTCCACAAGTATATTCTAAAAGAATTGCACAAATATATTCTAAAAGAGCAAGCCAAAACATAGCCGCCACTAAGTGTTAACAGATAACTCCCACAGTTTTCCTGTCCCCATTCCACACGTTTCAGCAGCTCAGGAATCCAGCCCTGGTGTTTCCCATATTTACTTAGCCCATAAAGATTAGCATTCCAGTAACTGTCAGCAACAGCAGCAGTGGTCTGAACAGCCATGTGAAAGGGGCTCAAATAAACCATGTTCCAAATACTAATAAAAACATATAGAACTCCTGCATAAACAGAAGCATTTCACCAGGCCTTCTCCTGTGCTGCTACACCTATCGGAACAAATACACGCTGCCTCTACCGCACTCTACTGCAAACTAATGGAACAAAACTAGAGTAAAAATGCTTCTCATCTGTTATCTCCAGGAAAAAAAAAACAACACTTCACACATTAAATAGCTATAAAACATTTCTAAATCATGAACCACTCAGGAAAACAACTTTTGGAAATGCCATTATAACAAAACAACTACAAAACACTTTGTGGCATTTACATAGTGGAATTTAACAAACAGGTAACTAACTGTACAAGAAGCATAAGTGGTGCCCATCTGTTACACGATTCGGTACATACATATGCACAACAATAACAAAACACCCCATTCCCCTGCACCCTCCCCCCACATTGCTCCTTTTAAAGTTTCAGTTTTTACTGGTGTAGGCATATTCAAACTGCATCCATTACCAGCTTTCTCCAATTCAAATCAAGTAGTTAATACAGGAATGATTTTAACAGCAATTTTTCAGGTACTCTCAGTAAGACGACAAAAAGCTTTCAATATCTTCCTGCTAGAACCGCTATTCTTAACATTTTCATTAACAGTACGTTTAACAGCAAAAATGGTTGCCTCACTCCTGCTGAGGCATTTTACCTGTTTTAAAATTCCAATTCTGCAACATGATTTATGGTGTAACAAACCACCAAAGACAGCCAGTTTGTTGGGCTGCTGGTGGAGCAGAAAGTACGGGGAGGGGACAAGGGAGAAGCAGAGGGGAGACAAAAAGAAGAAAGAACGGAGAAAGAAGGAGAGTCTGAACCCTCAGAGAGCTGACAGCAGCGACTGTGATTCCGAGTGCTCTGCGTGGATGTGTAACATCTTTCTACAGATGATTCAAAGAAACTTGGTAATACTTCAGATTTACATGTGAGACTCCAGAACTACTAACAGGGCCCATGCTCAAGAATAACATTTCCTCAGGGCTGACAGATGACCAGGAAGAGAAAGGAGACAGGATAGGCAGAAGGCAGAAAAAAAG